CGGCCTGCTGTTTTCTTTGAGTCCCTGGCAGCAGAGGAAGGTGAGCGTGAAAGGCACCTTCCTGCGTGCTGCCATGGGAAAGGTGCAGGGGGCTGGAGAGGGTGAGGGCATGAACCCTTGTATACTTGCCCTGTGCTAGACTTGAATAACTGTGCATGCAGGTGTGCCTGTGTCAAGACAGTGGAAATCAGGTGAATATGAGGATTTTCAAACCCATCTTCTTGGCCAGTTCATCTGCTCCTTCTTGTAACTACTGGCAAGTCAAGGAGTGTCAAAGGGTGCGTTCAGCAGCTCTGTTGCTTTTTCCTTCCTCTTTACAATGCTTCAGATAACCTTCCTGGCCTCCCAGGGTAATCTTACTAGAGTTAAAAAAAAGAGATCTCGACTTTTGAGATTTGCATTTGTGTGGGCTGAGCTGCGAGAGCCGTCGGTCCCTGCCTGTCACGCTGGGGGAGCCGAGGCCAGAGCATGGGCTGAGCTACGGGGCTATCGCTGGAATAGCACAATCCATGTCTAGTTCATGCCTCAGTTAAGCAATGCTGGAGAGGTACTGTTTTACTGGGCAATGTGTGCTTATTCAGCAAGCACCTTTTGCAATGTCAGCATGGGTCAGTGTCCCTTCTTATTTAAAAATCCATTGGTAAAGCCCCCAGCTTCACTGTGACACCCTGCTCAGAGGGCTGCAGTACCCAGCGCTGAGCGCTTCCTTCAGTGCATCTTCTTGCTTCGAGGGAGCTGGGCTGCAAGTTGTCCAGAGACTTGGTATTTGAATGTCTGCTAATCATGGTGCTGAGCCCTGGGCACGTTAGAGAACAAAGTAAATATGTACCCTTCTAAGGAAGTGAAAGGCAAACATCTCTCCTAGGAGGGGACTCGGGATTTGGACAGATTGCAACTGCAGCAAAACCAACCTCGGCAAAATTAAAAAGGCAAACATATACCAAGCTTGGGTGAGAGGTGGGGCCGGTTTATATTCCACCCTGTTCTGTTGTTTTTACCTCCCTGGTCTGCCTGAATTTTATATGCTGGCCTTGTTCCTTCTCTCTAAAATGTCAGCCCCCTCCCCTTTCCCCTTCTACCTCCTCCCTGCAATAGGAAGCTTTGCCTTCCTTCCTGTAGGGAAAATGGATTGCAGATCTCCTCGGCTCTGCTTTTGTCTAAGAAGTGCTTTGTAATGTCATATGCTTGCCGACCTACTAAAATTAAACAGACTCTTTGAAGCTACTGGAACAAGAGCCTCCTGTATAAGGCTTTCCCATGAGGGTAGACGTTACAGCCCTGTCCATTGTTTTGGGGGAAGGATCGTTCTCTTTATTTAATTATTTGAGTGGCATTTGCATTTCATTGCTCAGGCTCTTCTTATTAATGCTGTAGTGTTTTACTGGCTTTGAGGGAAGTAAATAAGCCAGGCTGTTATACTTCTGGAAGGCTTCTAGTAGCTACCAGGTTTTCTCTAAAGTCAAAGGCCTCCGCTCCTCAGTCACCAGCGCTGCTGGGGAAAATTTGCATCCAAATACAAACGCTGGCTTTCATTTTCTTGTCCATATCCCATCCCCATTTCTGTCTGTGTGGTTATTTTAGCCAGCACTTTCCTGGGCCATTTGCAAATGGTCCATTTGCATGATGGGTGCATGGACTCTGCTGCGCTTTTAGCTTCAAGTGGCTCAGGCTTTGGGTAAAACTGCTGCGGGTGCATGTCTGGTCGGCAATCCGCTGTGGTTTCCTTGTCCTCGCAGCCCAGCGTGGAAAGACAACGTTCAAAGTGAGAAAGGGGCAGGAGCGGGAGCACGCAGACGGGCTGGCCAAGGGATCCAGACGTGCCCAACCTCCTGGATGGCAGGAGCTCTTTGGCTCTGAATAATTTATGGCTCCGTCTGTGCCACAAGCAGTCTCAGTCAATGGTGCTGAGAGGGCTCAGTGCTGAGAGGGGCTCAGCGCTGAGAAGGGCTCTTGCTAAATCAGTCTGTTGACTGTTCTCCGACTCTTGAACTAACAAGGAAAATATGTGAGGAAACCTGGCCTTTGGTGGTGGCTGCTGCTGCAGAGGCTTCCTTGTCCCTCCGAGCTGTGTTAAGTCCCCGTGGCTCCTCTCTGCCAGGGTTTGGCTTTGCGCTGCAGTAACCAGAAGGTGACATGCAGTATTTATGCAGCAAAAAACCTTTCTGTGCAAAGGGAAGTGGCTTATCCTACAGCAGCTGCTTTGAAATCCATAGCACTGAAATGAAAGCATAAACCAGCAAATTCCTCTTGCTTTTATACCTGTTCAGCATCAAGCTGAAGGAGGAGAACCCCAGTTTCTGCGCGTGACAGAGCAGAAGCCCACTGTGAGCCACAGACAAGGGCTTGGAGGACCCCAGTGAGTTCCCAGGGATATAACTGGTGAGATTGCAGCATCCAGCATGAACTTCCTTGGCGTATAAATACACTGCAGAGATGCTGTGCCCTCACCAGCTATCTTGTTCCATTCCCCCCCCCCCATCTTCTTTTCTTTGCTTGTGGCAGAGGCCAAGCAGTCTTGTGCCGGCTGAAAACAGCCCAGGGAGGCTTGCAAAACTGCAGTGGTGGGAGCTTTCATGATTTTATTTTTATTATAAGCCCTGTGGCATTTGATGTTCTTTTGCATAAATCCCAGCTGCTGGAAATGGGGGCACCAAATGAAAGCTGAGAATCTCATGCTATTAAGAAAAAAAAAGTCTGGTTTGAGTCCTTGTGGCTGGGCCACATTTTAAAGTCTTTTTTTCTGAAGTGTGATGTAGAACCTGGAAAACACAAAGACAAATCCCCCTCACCCAATATACATGCAACTTTAAAAACAGACTTTTTAAAGCTATTTTGTGACTGAGGAATGGGACTAAGGTATGGGTTTTGAATGCTTGGAATCAGTGGTGCTGAATTTGCGCTGATAATTATTAGTACGTGGGAAAGAAAAACAACAGACCTTGTGTGTTGTGTCCCTCTTGAGGGCTATGTGGTTTGGTTTTTTTTTTTTTCCCCTTCCAAAACAACACAAAAAGACTGAGACCTCAAAGGAAGGGAGGAACTTTTGATCTCCTGCTTCTGAATGTCTCTGCTGCTTCCGAGTGTCTCTCCTCGCAGACAGAGGAGCGGTAAGATGACCGGGGAGGAAAGTCTCGTTTGGAGTGATGAACTCCCCTCCCAGGGAATGGTGGGCGTCTCCGCCAGACAGCCCAACGTGCTCCGTCAGCTGATCCGCAGAGCAGGGCAGGGAACCTGGGCTCCCTCCTGCAGGAGCCTGTCGAGATGCTCCAGCATTGAGTCTGTAGGGTTCTCTGGAAATTAGTTGAAATGTCGTTTGGCCCCAGGACTCTGCCAGTGGTGGTCCAACTTTTCTAGCGAAGCACCGGGGAATTCTCTTCCCCCTCCCTCCTTTTCTATAAACCGTGGTTGCTATAGCAAACGGGCTTTTGAATAAACAGACGTTTCCTGGAGATCAAAGCAAAAATCACTGTACCGCGCAGGTAACCCTGCCTTGACGGAGCGTTTTGGGGATGGTTAATTTAATCAGCTTAAAGTTTCTTCTCACTGGCCTGCTGTGTGGGTATGTAACTTGTATAGCTTGCAGAGACACCAGCTTTGTAGCTAGTCTTTGTACTTCCCTTAAAAAAGTATTTTGCATTTTCTGTGGGCAGGCCCTGACCTGTTTAGCCAGGGACTTTTTGGATTGCTACCCCTTTGATATGGATGTTGACTGGAGATTTGGGCATTCTTGAAAATCCTGTATCATAAAGAAATGTTCATTATCCCATGCACTAGACTGCTGGGCTATGTAAAGCATCTGCAGCTTTTAATTCTCTTAACTTGGAAATACCTTTTGTTTAAAACAAACAAAAAAGAAAGCTGATAACAGTATCAGAT